TGGCTTCAATAATTATCAGTGACCAACATGGTCTATGAGAAAGCCAACAAGTTAAAGTTCCCGCTTCTTTTCCTACAAATTTCAAATTGAAAATTGCAGTTCAGCGTTTCAAAAAGTGCCTTTGGTGGAGCTTCCTTTAAGGCTCAATCCATGGAAGATCTGTATCAACTTACAGATCACACTTATTTGGTACCAGCCATCAATTAGTCATGATTGAAGACTTTTACCCCAGCCCCAGACCCAACTATTGAGCAGTAGCTATGAGTGTAGCTCATTAGAGACTGATGAATTGTATCTTCGTATTTCTAAGTCGTGTAAGTCGTATTGTGTCAAATTTTGTTCAACCCGCATCCAATTCATTTACGTTAATGATCTATTGTTGGGTGTCATGCATGTGTAAGCCATGTTTTCTTGGGTTCGTATTGTGTGTAGTAAGAATTGTGCCGACTTTTTTATATGACGAGTCTAACGAATCCGCTTATTTATTGCTTGAATCCGCTACTTCTATACACATTGAAACATGAAGATCCAGTAAAAATCGACTAACACTCTTTTAACTGTAATACAATAAATCAGCTGGATTCTATTCAACAACAGTTAAGTATCCACCGGCATCTAATTTAGCATTTCATTCGCGTTCAAGCTTTTGCATCTTGTACTATTGTTGTAACAGCAAGTCCTTCAAAAACCGCAAAATGATAAGAAAAAAGTTAGGTAATTGCCAAGATGACTGAATCAAAAAGCCTCACTGCATTCAGGGTACCTGTTTTATTTTGCTGACAGACTGCCCCTGCCAAGTTATTATCCGATACATTCCTGATAATGAAAAATAAAAACCAAGTAATAAATTAAGGAAAAAGCACAAAGAATAGAATTAATAATGTTATTTTGCAAAAATTAACACTGTTTTAGATGATTTATATTGGAGACTGTTGATGGTACATGCATTTCTATAACTTGGATATATTAAGACGATACAATTACAGAAAATCTTTGTTTTCCTATATGAAATTACTATGTGAAATGCCTATGATACGAACGCGGTGGCAGTGAAATTGCATCTTTTATAGAAAGAACACATGATTTGATTGATTTTGAATATGAAATTTGTGGTTGTGACAAGATGAAAATGCTCATAGCTTACATAATCCTCAAATTGCCCCCAAAAATGAGTAGAATCACTTGGGTTGGTATTTCACCAGTTAGCTGATTACTGTTCAATCTCCTGCAATTACATCAATATAATGTTATATCTTTATTACTCAAAAATTTAATCTTTTACCATTTGCAATTCAAAGTAAATCTACTTACATATATCTTAAGGACCTCAAGTTGCCTAGAGTTGGTGGGATGATACCACTGAGTTGGTTTTGCTGCAGATCCAAGCTGATCAGTCCTGTTAAGTTGTCTAATACTCTCGGAATGGTTCCACTAAGCTTATTACCAGATACGTTCCTGTCAGTCCATGAGCAATATTTATATTTCTTAAGGCTTCACCAATCCAGAAGTCGAGCAATGAGCTCAATCTTTTTGATCTTTCAACCCACACACAGTCAGACAAAAAAAGGTGTGTATTATTTGAACTCCAGCAATACAAACTCATACAGTTTAAGCATATAATGCGGAATGATAGGATTTTTCAATCCGAATCCCAAAATTCACCCCACATTTGCCTAATTAAGATATCCTTGTGATTAGAGCCTCAAGAATATGAGGCAAACATTAATCCATCTCATTTATAGATCATCATGGTAGTTTAGCTTACTATAACTTACACTCCTTGGACCGTGGAAGAAAAACAGAATTACTGGTCAAGGTGATACATAGCAGTTAGACATATTATTTTGATCATGGTTTACCACGAATATTGCAATAGAAAGAACTATAAAACAAAAACTTACAAATATTGTAGGTTGGGCAAAAGTCCGAGATGAGGTACAAGAGTTCCTGATAATCCCGCATTGCCAAGGTCCCTGCAAACCAAATTATGTTTCAAATTTCAAGTTAAGAAGGCAAAAGAAGGGTAATTGAGAAACCAGCTAGAGTTTGTGGACGAAGACACCTACACTGTACTGACACTACTCTCCGTGTTGCAAGTGATGTGAGACCAGGTGCATGGATTGTCTAATGTTGGGTCCCAGCTCTGGAGGGCATTGTTTGGGTCCACCAAGTTGGTCTTCCAGGCATATAGACTATCCACTGATCAAGAAAAACAAATAGGCATGCTCAACTAATTGCTCATAAGAGCCTCTAAGTCTCCACAATTTCTAAAATCAAGGTGAGCATGATCTGACTAAAGTACAAAGGAAAAATATGAGTTAAGTTAATTTTCTTTCATACCTTCAAGATTGCATTCTACATTCAGAGTGGCAAGGCCAAAGAGAAGGAAAATTAGGGCCTGAGACCTCATTAGAGCAGTAGTGTAAACTGAAAAAACAGAAGATCAATAGAGTCACTGTGCAATTTCATTGGTTGAGAGACTTGGGTTATATATACGGGATAGCTGTGCACTGCCGCTAGATGCCGGCAAGAAAATTATTGGTTAAAGGAAGGCATGCTAGTCTGCTAAATAATAATCTTGCCAATGGCCGTTCAGTAGCTGACAAACACCTTCAAAAAAATAAAAAAAAATCTTATGATGAAATTGAGTAAGAGTAGTGCTATTAGAACCTAAAAATGTCGAATTCATTTGTACGACAAACTTCATATCTAGAAGATGCCAAAAGACTCATGACAATGTACACAAGATGTCACAGAGATTGTGGGGTTCCATGTGGAAGTCTAAGAAAGTAATGCTATGGCCTTGTTTGAATCATTCACTGACCCCAAAAAAAAAAAAAAAAAAAAAGGAAAAATTCAAACCATGATTTTTGTTTTTGGTGAGAGAAAAGTCAATATCAAATATCTAGGTATAGAAAAATTATCCCAAGTTAGACGCGGATATCCCCAACTCTACTTTAACTTGAGTCAGGTCTGTTGCCTTTTTCTATCGTTGATACAGTGATGGTTAGACACAGGTAGGCTTGGAATTATCACCGGACCAAAAACGTCATGCTCCACATCAAAAAGCCCATTGTTTTAGCCGAAGCCGAAGCTGTTCAAGGGACCTTGTTCTTGCCTTCTTGCCTTGTAGAAATAATAATACCATCATTACGTAACACAAGTTCCCTCAAACAAACAGAGGAATATATTGTTACATTGTTAACTAACTATTGCAGCAGAATGAGATCTAATTTTACTGTACTATGAGATTTTACAGAAAATGCTGATTTGCCAACCTGCTTCATCATCTGCTAGCTCCATTGCCACCAGCTTCATAACACAGTATCAGGTTGCTGAACAAGAATTCATCAACCCTTTCTTGATTTTGATTCCACCACAACCCACTTGTACAAACCAGAGATCTGCTTTTCATCTCAAGTCTTTTCGGCTCTTCTCCGGAGATTTATGATTTAATGCATTCCTTGCGGTTCTTAAAATGTCAGAACTGTTAATGCATGACATCCGATGCTGGATTTCACCATAATCTTCAAGCTTTGCTCTTCTGGCCATCTTTTCTTCCAACTCTAGCTGTAATATCATCTCTTCCAATGTTGGCTGGCCCTCCCTTAAAGTAGCGTTGTCCAAATAAGGGAAATCAGCCCAAGATTAGGTTGGTGTTCGTTAACAAAATCCCCAATCAAATCCATTTTTCCAGGAGTTCTCTTAGTATTAAGAGGAAATTAAAATGCGAAAGACTCCTACTACAACTGGAGTAGTCTAAAGCGGTACCTGAATGATATCTGGGTCAGTGTACACTGTACACTGGTACTGTGAGAATTTAAGTCAGGCAACTTATTCAGTCACATGAAATTCAAGGGTAGATTCCCAACCATTGAAAGAAATACAATATCCAATTCGTCATAAGTTAACAAGAATACCCTCAGAAACAGAAAATAACGAAAAAACCACTGTTCCATCTGTAAAGACGTGATAACTTACCTTGCTATGCAGCCACTAGAAGAATGAAAAAAAAAGAATGGAAAACTTCTCTGCTACCCATCCCGTCCCTNAGTTAACAAGAATACCCTCAGAAACAGAAAATAACGAAAAAACCACTGTTCCATCTGTAAAGACGTGATAACTTATCTTGCTATGCAGCCTCTAGAAGAATGAAAAAAAAAGAATGGAAAACTTCTCTGCTACCCATCCCGTCCCTTCCAATGAAGGATTTAAGTGTGTAGTGCCTAAGATTGTGCGCACACACCTAGTAATTAAGGTACAGAATTCTCAGATGTTGTGGGATAGATGGCGGAGGGGGTAAGAAACATGACATTGTCTTAATTGGAGGTTCTTAAGGGGCAAAATCAAAGTATGGAAATCTGAAACCTTGTGATTAGGTAGGGGGTGAGGAGCATGCCCCCTCGACCTGCACCAGATTCGCCCATGCTTGCGCTACACCTTCATACTAGGGTACCACCTAATCCACCTGTTTTCTTATTTATTCGCAACTCTCGAGTGTCAATCGCCACTAGAAAAGAGTGCATGAAGGACAGTCGATCATTAAAGATGGTGCACATCCCTCAGACAAGGGGTAAAATGCGAACTTGTCTTATGTCTACACTTACTGCTGTAGATGAAGCCAAGAAGAATGTGGATTTGGCTCCGGCAATGTAATCAAGTTATAAAACAAATATGCTACTGTGAACACCCCTTCCCCTTTTTCTCCAAGGAGAGAAGGAAAACAAAAGAGAAGCCACTGTCTTCATAAAAGATGCCCGTGCACATTATGATCGTATAAATCAGCCTGGACCACAACCGGGTAAAAACTTTATACTTCCCAAGCTTCTATGTTTGCCAGCTACATGGCCTAGTGGAGGCCAATATCCTCACATCCAGCCCCTACACAATGTCTATTGTCATTCCAATGAACTGAAAATCATATAATTTGGCAATTGAGGAAACACAAAGACAAGCGGGCACCCACGCACAGATTTTATAAAAATGAAATAATGGTTGGTCCAAAAGAAATCAAATCTGCATGAATTGTACATTTTAATTGGAGAAATGTATGAAATATATACATACAGCACAGCACTGAAAAGTGCATCCTTCAAAAGTCATTCACGAATAATTTAACCATCTGTAGCTTCACTAGCCTTCACAAATCGACCCTTAACTCGTTTCCTAGTATCAGCTCTTGCCTTTCTGGACTCATATCGGATGTGCTTTTCATATCTATTCACAATGCACAAGTCCTCAATAAAATCCACATAGCAACTTTGATTGGGATCGACACCAGAAATTAAAGAGAACAAAGGGAAAATGGAAGGACTACGTACCTCCGTGTTTTCTTCTTCTCCTTATAACGTAGCATTGCATTGCCTCTGTTCTTTGCCAGCAGCTCCATGTCAGCAGTGGATATTGCAGCTGTTGCACTTTCACCTCTCATGAGAATACTTTGGTCCATAATCTGGATCTCTTTTGGGCCACCATAGCCTTTGGGTTTACCAAAACCTGAACCTGACGAATGCCTTGCAGTTGGTAAATTGTTGCTCTCAGATGTTGCTGGCCCCTGGCTTACTGTTGGGTTATTTGTGTTATTCTGCAATTTCAGTTATGTAACTAAGATATGAAAAAGAAACATAGACCAACATTGCACAGAGGAACAATGGGTAAATAAATGGCAGAAACCAGATTGTTTGCCCACATCAAATAAGGGCACGGGGAATTCTCTCACTCAAAACTACCATATGGTGCTGGACTCATCACATATGCTATACATAATATCAGGCCACCAATACATCTTACTGACTGCCCAAGAAATAATCTCATTTTTTGCATTTTGCCTTCATGTTATCTTCTACATGCACATGGAAAAGACTTACATTATCCAATGGGGAGGGGGAGTTAAGGCTGCGTACATCTCACCTTCAGCACACTCTGCAGTGGCGGAGTGAAGTGCATTGGGCCGGCCTAACTATTGTTATTAGTCAATCAGTTCCAGGCTTCCAGCATCTTTTGCCAAAGTATCTAATTTTAGATGTTCAAGATTGTGTTTGCCCCTGACCCCACCCCTAAAACAAGAGGGAAACAGGTAAAGAAAAATTTAGGGCTTGTTTGGTTTGCGTTTCAAAAACTAGTATCTGAAAACAGTTTTTGAGAAGAGTTTTAAAAAAGTAGTTTCGATATTTTTTGAGATAAAAAATTTGTTTGGTTAGATGATTTCAAAAACAATTTTACAATACAGAAATTAGTAAAACCTGTTTGGACAGTCTAAATATATATTTGAACAGTAATTCAACCATTAATAAGAAAATATAAAAAATTTATTTTTATATTAACAATTTCATAATATATATATATATATATATACATATTAATATATAATATATAATATAATATATATTATATATTATGAGAGAGAGGAAGAAGTAAAAAAAAAAAGGAATGAAGAAATTTGCTGCTAAGGAGACTCGAAGGACAGACCTCATTAAAATCCAAAATTGTTTTCCATATTTTCAAAATTTTCAAAGAATACTCTGAAAACAAGCTAAACTTGTTTTATGTTTCTTTGACTCAAATCTCATTTTTCTCAAAATTTTGATAGGGCCATGTTTGATTAGCTTCCTGGAAACTGTTTTTTGTTCTCAAAATTTCAAAAACACCCAAAACCTGTTTGTTTAGCTTTTTTGTTCTCAAAGTTTTGAAAAAAAATAAAATTTGAATCAAAGAAACAGAAAACAAGGAGAACAATTTTGGACTTTAATAAGGTCTTCCTTTCTCTCATAATATATTATATAATATAATATATATTATATATTAATATTATATTATATTATAATATGTATATGAAAGTGTCAATATAAAAATAAATTTTTTATATTTTTTTATTAATGTTTGAATTACTGTTCAAATATATATTTAAGTTATCCAAACAGGTTTTACTATTTTCTGTATTGTAAAATTATTTTTGAAATCATCTAACCAAACAAGTTTTTTATCTCAAAAAATATTAAAATCACTTTCTTAAAACTCTTCTCAAAAACTGTTTTCAGATACTAATTTTTGAAACGCAAACCAAATTGGCCCTAGGTTTTGGGTGTTTTTGAAATTTTGAGAACAAAAAACAGTTTCCGGAAAGCTAACCAAACATTACCTTATACTTCTAAGAACTCATAAATTACTTTAGAAGGTTTAGCTTTAATTTCAATTTCTCATTTGTATTGCCTATGCATGAACATTGTTTAGTCACAGTTTATAATGTTATATTCAGCATCCCTAGGAGAACATTAAATTAAAGTTGAGGTTTACAATTTGTCACAGAAGAAAACAGTTTNTTTCTACTTGAGAATTGTGGAACTATGGAGTTTGGTATACATGATTATTGTGGAAAAATATTGTTATTATCTCTTATATGGGTGGATATGATGAACATNGCATCTTTTGCCAAAGTATCTAATTTTAGATGTTCAAGATTGTGTTTGCCCCTGAACCCACCCCTAAAACAAGAGGGAAACAGGTAAAGAAAAATTTAGGGCTTGTTTGGTTTGCGTTTCAAAAACTAATATTTGAAAACAGTTTTTGAGAAGAGTTTTAAAAAAGTAGTTTCGATATTTTTTGAGATAAAAAATTTGTTTGGTTAGATGATTTCAAAAATAATTTTACAATACAGAAATTAGTAAAACCTGTTTGGACAGTCTAAATATATATTTGAACAGTAATTTAACCATTAATAAAAAAATATAAAAAATTTATTTTTATATTAACAATTTCATAATATATATATATATATATATACATATTAATATATAATATATAATATAATATATATTATATATTATGAGAGAGAGGAAGAAGTAAAAAAAAAAAGGAATGAAGAAATTTGCTGCTAAGGAGACTCGAAGGACAGACCTCATTAAAATCCAAAATTGTTTTCCATATTTTCAAAATTTTCAAAGAATACTCTGAAAACAAGCTAAACTTGTTTTATGTTTCTTTGACTCAAATCTCATTTTTCTCAAAATTTTGATAGGGCCATGTTTGATTAGCTTCCTGGAAACTGTTTTTTGTTCTCAAAATTTCAAAAACACCCAAAACCTGTTTGTTTAGCTTTTTTGTTCTCAAAGTTTTGAAAAAAAATAAAATTTGAATCAAAGAAACAGAAAACAAGGAGAACAATTTTGGACTTTAATAAGGTCTTCCTTTCTCTCATAATATATTATATAATATAATATATATTATATATTAATATTATATTATATTATAATATGTATATGAAAGTGTCAATATAAAAATAAATTTTTTATATTTTTTTATTAATGTTTGAATTACTGTTCAAATATATATTTAAGTTATCCAAACAGGTTTTACTATTTTCTGTATTGTAAAATTATTTTTGAAATCATCTAACCAAACAAGTTTTTTATCTCAAAAAATATTAAAACCACTTTCTTAAAACTCTTCTCAAAAACTGTTTTCAGATACTAATTTTTGAAACGCAAACCAAATTGGCCCTAGGTTTTGGGTGTTTTTGAAATTTTGAGAACAAAAAACAATTTTCGGAAAGCTAACCAAACATTACCTTATACTTCTAAGAACTCATAAATTACTTTAGAAGGTTTAGCTTTAATTTCAATTTCTCATTTGTATTGCCTATGCATGAACATTGTTTAGTCACAGTTTATAATGTTATATTCAGCATCCCTAGGAGAACATTAAATTAAAGTTGAGGTTTACAATTTGTCACAGAAGAAAACAGTTTCTAAGATGTAAATGACTAATGAAATAAAAAATATAACGGTTATCACCTATCACCACTATCAAAATGGCTTACATTAAAAGCTGTGATATCTGCATGTGCAGTGGAGGAATTCATCTTGTAAATTTCTCCCAACCCTTTTGTGGTTTCCAAGGAAGCTTCTTTCAACAGTTCACCATAACTTTTCATCATAAATACCGAGTCGCTTCCACCATACTCTGCTTCTAATGAACCAGATTCTTCATGACCCCTTAACCGCCCCAAATTAAAATCCCATATCTGTATAGGCAATAGTAACAACAAATAATCAGTTTGGTCACTTTCTTCACAAAGATAGATATAGAAAATAAGGCACAAGCAGGTGCAGAAGAAAATGAAGATGGATTACACGTTGAGAAGTGAGAAAACTTTTTAGGTAACATATTTAAATACATTAGATGTGTAAGACCCCGTACAAAATTTAAATATTGATAACATGATATTAAGAGTACTTTCAAAAGGATGATAGAAATTTTGAATCATTGTTAAAAAATTGATCATGAAGTTTGAGTTTCGTACGTATTGACTTTTGTATCGAATTTAGTTTTGGATGTGTTTAAGCTTGGCAAGTGTGGATAGATAAGTTTTTAAATGTTGTTAGGTCAAAATAATGTTTCCATTGAATCTAGAAGGTCAAAAAACTTCTGGAGAGGTTATATGTGGTATATTAGAAGTTTGAAAATATTCCGGAATTAAAACCTATTTTGGAGAAAATTTGGGTAGAAAGAAATTTGACACTACCTTAGTATTTGGACCATAACTTTCTACCCCGATATCCGATTGACTTGAAGTTTTTACAGTAGAAACTAGACTTTCAAAACTACAAAAGTGTATTTCACGAAAATTTCGTGAGTGAGTCAGTCTCTAACAAGTTCAAAATCGAGCTGGAAATTAGGAGCAAACTATTACCCACGCCTAGACAGGAATTCTAGGTTTTTCAGCGTATAAATACCATAAGGCCGTGATCTAAAGTGTCTTTCCCTATTTTTCAACCTTAAGATGCGTAAGAAAGTTTGAAGAGAAGAAGGCGAGGATCTATATTGTTTTTACATTCGTTCTTGAACAAAATACATGATTTACTTCCAAGATCTATCAATTCTTAACTTAAAAATCTAATTCTTGACTTCTATTGTATATATGTAATTTATTTACTACTTTTTTATATATTTTTTTAAATATATGTTTCAATTCTTGAATAAACACATGATTTATATCCAAATAAATACTTTACATCCAAAATTGAACATTCTTGATTAAGAACCCCAGATCTTGAATATTGTGAACATGAACAATATCTTGCATGTTTTGCTTCTATCATTCTTCTACTTGAGAATTGTGGAATTATGGAGTTTGGTATACACGATTATTGTGGAAAAATATTGTTATTATCTCTTATATGGGTGGATATGATGAACATGGGTTGTACTCAAATGCGTATCGTAGCGTTACTATCTCTTGTATGGGTGGATATGATGAACGTGGGTTACACTCGAATGCGTATCGTAGCATGTTAGAGGTTTATGAGTGATTTGGTGGTTGTCTAACACTCGTAAGGGGTTTGGTGGTTATCTAACACTCGTAAGCGATTTGATGGTTGTTTAACACTCGTAAAGGGTTTGATTTCTTACGAGGGCTAACACCTATTTGTCCATGTAGGTTCGAGCCTAGTATACTATTCCTAGGAAATGATACGACAATACTGATAAGTTAGTACACGTCACTCCTAAAGTGTTGCAAGTGTTGTGGTTCTGCAAAAATTGATTTGAAATGGTTTGTGTTTGTAGATGGACGACATAGGTTCGATGTGTAGATCCATAGTAGTCTACTTTCGTAAATGAAATATAATATTTGCAAATAACTGTTACATTGAGAATGAGTTTTACTTCTATAAACTTTATCATTTGGTACCGTAAATTGGGATGTTGTGGGGATCATGATGTGGATCCAGATGTAAAAGTTTGATGACTTTTAGCCTTTGGAGTTTATATTTGATGGTTTACTTATATTGAGGATTTATTGATGTTTTCTTTGGGAATTTTTCTAATAATGTTAAATTTATGAATGATTTTATTTATCTAATGATACCTCTCATGGCTGGATGTGGTATAGATAGTTAATGTCTTTAATTTGGATTTTAGGCTGTTACAAGATGACTTAAGAAAGAATTTCCAATGGTTAATGGCATTCCATATACATTCTAAATTTACATATATATACATACATTTAATATTTTTTTGGGGGGGAGGGGTGGAGGGAAGGGGGCTTCAGCCCTTGACCTAAAAAAGTAAAGTCTTCACAAGGTCACGAATACCATTGGACCACAAAAAGGTTAAGTCTTCCCAAGGCAATAAGTATCATTGGACCAAAGGCCCGTTGATTTTAAATTTACATATAAAACCGCTATTAATCAAAGGAAACAGCTAATTTAATGTACAAGGTCCAATAAAAATGGGTCACACAAAAGTAAAAAATGTGCCAGAATGGTAAAACAATTAGTAAAAAAATCCACGAGGAGGAGTTAAATGAGATCAGAAATGCCCCAAATTGTACTCAAAATCCACTAACACGTGACGTGAATGGTATTATGAGAAAGGATGGGTTTGCAACAAAAGCCTCAATTCTGATCTTCACAAGATATAATAAAGAAACATCCCACATCCCAACAAAAGCCTCAATTCTGACCTAATTATATGTACCCGATGCCGTTAACCATATTGTTCATTTTTATTCAAGATCTTCATTGAAGGCAAAGTAGTCAAGGTAGCATAAAAACTGCTGATAAATGAATTTCTCAGAAGCATTTAACACTTAATCGCATAAGCCAGAGAATTATTATAGAAATCCCATAACGCTGAAAAACGAATTTTTTCGCAACAAACCTGAGTTCTGTGATCAATAGGTTTGGAGTCCCACAACATATCCCCATCAATGATCCGATCGCTCCCTTTAAAATCCACCTGACTATTCATCATAAGCAAAGATGTAAACGGAGTATTTTGTTGTGGTTGCAGCTGCCGCTGAACTGATTGATTCGCGACATTCGCATCTCCAGCACCCACATCTTCCAATCCACAACCTTCCACATTCCCCTGCCAACCACAACCCCTCCTATGAGGAGTTCCCGGAACCAAATCCTCCCCTCCACCTCCACCTCCACCAAAACCACCACCACCACCATCCACTAAATCACTTTTGTACAACTCCATCAACTGTCTCAATATCACTTGCTTTTGTTTTCCACAAGTCAGACTCTGCCTCTTCAATCCCTTAACCATCTCCCCCAAATTCTCGCTTCCATAAATCCCCCCATTCTCGTTCGGAACCATCAGATCTTGCATCGTAACAGGTGGAATGGCCTTGTACATCCACGAATCAATATGCCCATCACCATTCAAATTATTTATTGACTCCTGAAAGGCCCAATTCGAGACCGACTCTAAGTTAAACTGGGGCTTCTTATCTTCAATATCAAAACCCCAAGCCATAGCGAGCTCAAGAGCTGAAGGACACCCAGAAAACCCTTCAATAGGGTTCCGATCGTGTGCCGCTGATACAGAACAACTCCCATGGGCATCCCAGTCACACTCTTGACAGAGCACCAAATTGTCAGTGGAGCAGCGAACGGAGACGGGTTCAGATCCGCAGTTATCGCAGATCTGAGAGCGGAGGTGCTTGCGTGAGAGGGCGTTGGCAGAGTGGACTTGTTGGTCACAAAACAAACACAGCTTGGCCGAGTCGGCTCGGCAATAGAGAATGGCAATCTGCTCGTGGCAGAAATCGCAGGGAACGGTCTCTCTATCTCTGCGTTTCGGACTAATCATCTGTGTGATAGTTGTGGATGAGTTTGGTGAATGGTTTGAAAACCCTAGGACTGTTTGGTGTTGGTGGCCAAAGGAAAAAGGCTCAACAGTCAACTGTAAAGTGGGAGCTATAACTGAGAACTGATATTTTCCATTACCAGAAGAGGAAGAGGAAGAGGAAGAGAGAGATTAGATAGATTTTTCATCTTCTGGTGGTTTCCATTTTCTATTTTTGGTTATTTTTATTTTGGTTCTGCGTAACGGAGCACATAACACGAGAAGGTAGAGAAGGAAGTGGTTAGTTTAATGGATGAATGATGAGAGAGGGAGAGACAGGGGGGGGTAGATATATCTCGATCGACGGAATGTGGGGGGCCCAAATTCTAAAATATCTTGACCTTTTGGCTGATCTGGCAGCAGCAGGGGCATCTTTTCACACCATCTTGGATAATATTCTGTCTCTCACTGATTATTCACTTCTTACCAAACAGAAACGCAACAATTATTTATCAGGGTTAATTACAAATTATACTCATAAAATTTTTTTAAAAATTTTAATTTGTACTCTCAAAAATAAAAAATTTCAATTTATACTATCAAATATAAATATTTATATTAATACACATCTGAACCTAACAACAGTCAATTTGTCGATTAAAACTAAATGAATAAATTATATTTAGATCTCTTTACACTTGTTACTTAATTATTTAAATCCCTCATATTTAGAATATTACTCTTGTACCTCCTAAAGTTTATACATGTGTAACAAACACATAATCTATTGTCTTTGATATCAACCGTTAAAAAATATGATTCATCTTAATAATAAATTATAATTTTATATTATCTTTTATTTTGTAGGCCTGTTATATTTTTAATTTCAAAATCAAAATTATCATTTGAATGTCCAATATAATACATATATTTATATAATATTTTTTATATCTAATGCAATCTATCACTTAAAACAAAATTATTTGAATGTCCAATTAAGAGAATATTTTTGGTCATATTTAAATTTTCAAGAGATGTAGGTATAATATTTTAAATGTAAAAAGTCTAAATGATTAGGTGACAAGTATAAGAGGTCTGGGGGTAATTTATACATTTAGTTTTAGATCGTAAACTGACGGTTATTAAATTATTAGCCTGAGTTATGCATTGAACAAATTTTTAAATTTAAAGGTATAAATTAAAATATTTTATACTTAAGAATATAAATTAAAATTCAAACAATCTTTTTCAAAATAATTTGAGATTAACTTTATTTATTATTAGCTACTAAATAAATGTAGCAAAACTTTAACCTGCACCGGCTCTTCATTATCATCTTGTAAAACAGTAAAAGTGATCTGTTGTGTTGTTGGATAGTGGGACCACCCGTCATTTGCACAACTCTATTATTCAGATTATGATAAAATAATGCTAGCTGATTTGATGGTAGATAGTTTTGAAATTTTAATATATGAATTGACTACCGGATGAGGATGACTGGATGAGGATATATAATAATAGTAATAATATTAGAGTTTAATTTATTAACTTAAATTATTATAATTATTGAATTAATCGTAAGTCTTATTAAATATTAAAATTTAATATTAATTCAACGAATTACATCATTATATTAGTAGATTAGATCAAAATTTTAAATTTCAATATCATTACTCATATAGTAATTATTGTTATCTAATCCTCGTGTTATTGAGCGTTTACCTCCCTAATTTCCTGTCAAAATATTTTTTACTCAATAATTTTCTTGATAATTATAAAGGGATTTGAGAGTGGTATGCTATCCATCAATAAATACCACAATAAGATAAAGTGCAATGAAAGTGTGTTTGACGATGTGATTGATTCCTAATCATAGGGGTAATAAATAGACTTGATTAATAATTAATCTGATCTAACCATTTGAACTAAGTGTTATCTCAATGTGACTTTATCTATTTTTATGTATAAAGATTATTGCGTTGGAGAAAAGTTAAATCCAAATACTTTAAAATTGGCATCTATTAGTCAAATAAAAATTGACCAAGACATGCATGCTGGATACTAATGTGACCATTAAATCTTTATACAATAATGCATGAGATGGTTACCCTACTTCTCTCATTTTACGAGTAGGCATCGGATTGGACAAAAGTATGAGAGCTTATGAATAGTACACTCAAAGGTTGATGTCATTGAAAAATTCAGTTTTTTGTCAAAAAAAAAAAGAAAAACAGAAAAAGGAACAGTTCAATAGACCAACGCCTGATTACATTCTATAGGAAAAGAAAAGACACTATCCTCCTCTTACTAAATAAGAACAAAGCACTTACCCAAAAAGTTAAAGATAAAGTAAGTAGAGGAAGAATATTAAAATTAAAAGAGGGTAGTTGTTTGGTTCATTACAAGTTAAAAAGCGAGCAACAATAATGATTGATTCAAAGAGTCAAAAAAAAAATAAAAAAAAAATACTGAAGCTAATCATAAAGTTGGACCGGGGACCATATGGATTTAATATAAAACTCACGTGCAAAGCATTGAGAGTAGCAAAACAAGGTCTTTAACCTTTTTTAAGCGAAGTTTTGTGGCTCCCCATGTCTGTAATGGTCATCCATGACACCATAATCATACCCTTTTTTGGCCCATTACCTGCTTTCTTTTTCGGCCTAGCCCATTCCCTATTTCACCGCCAATGTATTTGACGGTGTTAAGAATCGAGAAGTGTGAGAAACGAGGGCTGAAGAGATCTTTTTTGAAACTTCTGGAATGTGTGTATGAAAACATCAAATCAGGAAAATTGAGAGATGAATTGGTCCATCAGAGTTTGATTAGTCTCTTATAATGAAGTTTCTTGTTCCTAGTGTCTGTATTACTTAAACAGGAAGATGGTGGTTACAACTTTTTTGTATGTAAAATTGTACTCTTTTGCAAGCCAAAGGTTTGCCTATTCTTATAATAGTGTAGAGTGCTTCTCAAGAAATAATGGGAACGGTCCCCTAATTTGTTGTGATTTGAAGAGGGAATATTTGACCATTAGAGATTATATTCTTCTAGGCATGACGTGATATTTTAGAAGTTGGTGACGTGATATTAGTAATTTATCCCTAGACAATGTTTGATGTTGTAATTCCCTTTTTGTCCCTTCTCTAGCTTTAGTCTGAGCTACTTTAGGTAAGCCAAGCTTGTTTAGGAATGGTTGAGCTAGTTCCAACAAATCCAAGCAGATTTAAAGATTAAATTGACCTAAACTCTTGTCAACAAGTCTGTCATTTTGTCTTTTACACCAATAACTCTCCTACTTGTGTTATAGATTTGTTTTCTATGCTGGTTTTGGTCTTGGTATCACTAGTCGCCCCCATCCCTGAGCTCGGACTATCTGAACTATATGCTAGTTGGGGCTGAGCTCAATAAAGTGTAAATGAGTTGTGCCCTGATAATAGTGGAGAGGTCGTGCCTTTCTGATTGTATCCCTAAGACCTCAGTTGAAAAGATGTGAAAGGTTCGTGTCCTTATTTCTGCGCAATTGTGCAGGCGAGAAACGTGTTAAGCACCTCGTATCTCAGTACGTGTCAATTAGGAGGCGACACGTGGGATAGGGTTTAGGAAGGAGAATTAAACGCGTCTTGCGTACCTTAAATGCACATGATGGAGAAAAAACTGCCAATTCCCAAAAGCTATTTAAACTCCCTCTTCGTCTTCTTCCTCTTTCTTGTTGTAGAAGATTATAGAGAGATAAGAGGTCTTGGCTTGATTCGATGTGTAGGTTCTTCATTGTCATTCCTATGTACTTTGTTGTCTTCGTTGGTTAGGTATGCCATCTTCATTCTTTTACCTTACAACTTAGATCAATTTGATCCCTGGTGGTGGTCTTAGAGACTCCACTTTTTAGTTCTTCATTTCTACTTCTTTAGGAGTCTCGATAGATCCTTAGCCCCTATTTTTTTCTTTCATTGACCATGCTAAAGTTGCTAGGGCCTTTATTCTTCGCGATTGGTATCTGGATCTTCGTGCCATTGAGACTATTCCTTAAATCTTCCCCAACTTTACCTTAGGCTTGAGTTCACAGTGCCCCGTGCTGGTTGCATATCTGTCTCTTCCATTACTATGCCTTCTTCAATCTCCACCATGTTTAGGGGTCCTAATGACTATGATTTTGTGTCTCCTACTCAGAAGGAAGTGGTTGATCTGGAGGATGATGAGAACCCTTTAGCATTGATTAGCTCTAGCGAGGCCACTTCTTGACAACTGAGTCGTCGCCTTCTAATGCCATACCTCATGAAGTTGTACCTCCCAAAGTCATGCTTGAAGAGATGGCTCCTAGGAAAAAGAAACAAAGGGTAGTTGAGAGAAATAGGAATCCCCAAGCGAGCAAGGTTGCTTCGCTATCCAAAACTGACACCTCTGGTAGAGCCCAGGACCTCTAGGGAGCAAATGTGACCTTAGTTTGTAGTCACTTGATCAAGTAGATATCTTAGGTGATTAGCCATTGTAGGTGGGGGTTAAAAAAGGTTGACACACGTGTCTATACTAAAGGTAATCGAAGGGGTGAGTAAGACAAGTGGATGGGATAGAAGAAACTCAAGCAGCCTATTAATGAAGGGACAAATCAGTTGGGCAGAGGGTGGGTGAAAAATGCTTTCTCCAGCTAGAAAATCATCCGCTTCAGTGGGCTAATAATGTGAGTATTTATAGCACAGTGCCCGGGCAGATCGGGCTGCCCGCCACGATCCCCTACCACTCGCGCTAACCTATAATTGTCTTGACTGCAACGATACTAGTGATTGTTAATGGCGAGCCATGTGTCCCAGCATTAACTAGGCAGATGTGATATTTTTTCAAACGCAACATGGACGTGGCCCCGAGGAAGGTGCGACAACCAAGGTGAGAGCGGGTTCCCCAGGTCCATAATCGTAACTAGTCACCGTGGGACCATGACCTCGAGGGGACCATTCCCGTGATGCCCCGAACGCGCTTCTACCCGGGGTTCTTCCTTCCCTCTCTAGACCCTTCTTCGAGACCTTTGTTGA